TTGGTGATAAAAGTCATGAGAGCGATTATAACAATTCTGAAAAGAATAAAAACTATGTTAGAACGAATGAAAATTATGTTCGGCTCAGAAAAGTTAATGATACTCATAGGAGAATGAAGAATGTTGCCGTCAACTAACCACATTTACGCACCGGAGTTAAAAAACACCGTCACAATGACAACTGTAGGGAATACTAATTCCCGAACTCCTCCATTACCCTTCGATACCTCCAAATTACCTTAAACGGGTAATTTCACCCCTATGAGAGCCATTAAGCTAGTCTGAAGTCAAACGAAGTGACTCTGAAGCTGTAGCGATCGATGATGACCAATGATCAGGCTTTTCTATGCAGAAGACAATTTTGGGCAGTTAGGAACTGATTTATTCGTTCAGATATTGTGAGAAATTGTAGTTGATAGAGTAAAATGCGTAAAAGAAATGTTTGAATGAAGTTTCAGGATGAAGTTTTATACAGCCACATTTATCGCTTCATCTGCCAGTGGCGTAGCGTTGTTGGCTTGTTTAGTCGCTGTTTTATACGTTTACAATGATGTGCAGTCGATATGGATGCAGATCGATGCGGAAATGAACGCATTTCGGGTTTTTCTTCGCTTATTTACTTTATCAAGCATAATAATGAGACTAGGCGCAGTCATTCATCATATGATTCAAACAGAGAGCTTTTTTNTTTTTTGCATACTTACAATTATGTGAAGTTTCCAAAGTATTCGGTGTTTTCTTCACAGGCAACAACAGATGATCTATGGCACGATATGATGCGTCTTGGTGCGAATAGATCGAGATTCCGTCGGCAAGGCGGCTATGGTTCAGGATCGCTTTCGAGCGGTGGTAAAGCTGCAGAACACGGTCATGAGAGCAGCTTCGATGCCGAACCAACATCCAGTGATGGCTCCTCCTCTTCACATTTGGACAGCCTCGGTCCTATTGGCCCAGAGGGTCGTCCAGGTTTCGACTATGGAGGTGGTAGTGGCGGCGATGCTAGCACTGGCGAAGATGGTTCCGGCAGTGGCTCAGGAAATGATGGCGAAAGACTGAAAGGTTTCGCGCCAGGAACTCCACCAGGTGCGCTACCTCCAGGCGTGCCACCATCGATTGCCGGGGGACCGAATCTGGAACATGAAGGAGTACAAGGGAATTGTGGTAGGCTGCTAGTTTTCATAAACGAATAATTGAAT